CTGAGCCTTTTCGGCGGAGCTCCCTATGGGGCCACGAAACGTGTGAGGGGTGTGCCGAATTGGGTGTTCGTGACGCATGCGGGCGGCAGCACTGGGGCTTTCGGCGGAGCTGCCTATGGGGCCACGAAACGTGTGAGGGGTGTGCCGAATTGGGTGTGCGTGACGCATGCGGGCGGCAGCACTGGGGCCTTCGGCGGAGCTCCTATGGGGCCACGAAACGTGTGATGGGGTGTGCCGAATTGGGTGTGGGTGACGCATGCGGGCGGCAGCACTGGGGCCTTCGGCGGGGCTCCTATGGGGCCACGAAACGTGTGAGGGGTGTGCCGAATTGGGTGTGGGTGACGCATGCGGGCGGCACCACTGGGGCCTTCGGCGCAGCTCCTATGGGGCCACGAAACGTGTGAGGGGTGTGCCGAATTGGGTGTGGGTGACGCATGCGGGCGGCAGCACTGGGGCCTTCGGCGGAGCTCCTATGGGGCCACGAAACGTGTGAGTGGTGTGCCGAATTGAATGTGGGTGACGCATGCGGGCGGCAGCATTGGGGCCTTCGGCGGAGCTCCTATGGGGGCCGAAAACCGTTGAGGTTGTGCCGAATTGAATGTGGGTGACGGCATGCGGGCTGGCAGCACTGGGGCCTTCGCGAGCTCCTATGGGGCCACGAAGCGTGTGAGGGGTGGTGCCGAATTGGCGTGGGTGACTGCCGGGCGGCACAGCGCTGGGGCCTTTGGTGGAGCTTCTATATATGAAGGCCGCGAACGCGTGTGAGGGGTGTGCCAAATTGGGTGTGGTACGCATGCGGGGGCGGCAAGCACTGGGAGCCTTTCTGCGGGAGCTCCTATGGGGCCACGAGCGTGTGGGGGGTGTTGCCGAATGGGTGTGGGTGACGCATGCGGGCGGCAGCACTGGGGCCTTCGGCGGAGCTCCTATGGGGCCACGAAACGTGTGAGGGGTGTGCCGAATTGGGTGTGGGTGACGCATGCGGGCGGCAGCACTGGGGCCTTCGGCGGAGCTCCTATGGGGCCACGAAGCGTATGAGGGGTGTGCCGAACTGGGCGCGGGTGACACATGCGGACGGCAGCACGGGGGCCTTCGGCGGAGCTCCTATTGGGCCACGAAACGTGTGAGGGGTGTGCCGAATTGTGTGTGGGTGACGCATGCGGGCGGCAGCGCTGGGGCCTTCGGCGGACCTCCCTATGGGGCCACGAAACGTGTGAGGGGTGTGCCGAATTGGGTGTGGGTGACGCATGCGGGCGGCAGCGCTGGGGCCTTCTGCGGAGCTCCTATGGGGCTACGAAGCGCTGCACTGGGTGGGTGAAACGCAGGGAAGTGGGGGAGGAGGGAGGAGGAGGGGGAGGAGGAGGAGAGGAGTGGAGAGGAGGGGAGGAGAGGAGGACGCGGGGACCGTCTCTTCAAAACGAGGACTCAACACCACAGGCTGGTTGGGAAAAGCGCACACACGCACGCACACACACACGCAACAATTATCCTGGCGAACGACCCAACCATATGCAATTGTGAATACCGCAGTTGTGAATGTCTTCTTCGGTGGAGCCCCCTGCGGGGCCACGAAACGTACGAGGGGTGTGCCGAAATGGGTGTGCGGGACGCATGCGGGCACACCCACTGGGGCCTTCGGTGGAGCTCCCTATGTGACCACAAAACGCGCGAGGGGTCACGAAACGCGTGAGGGGCGTGCCGAAATGAATGTGCGGGACGCATGCGGGCACACCCACTGAGGCCTTCGGCGGAGTCCCCTTTGGGGCCACGAAACGTGTGAGGGGTGTGCCGAAATGCGTGTGCGGGGCGCATGCGGGCGGCAGCACTGGGGCCTTCGGCGGAGCTCCCTTTGGGGCCACGAAGCGTGTGAGGGTGTGCCGAATTGAGTGTGCGTGACGCATGCGGGCGGCAGCACTGGGGCCTTCGGCGGAGCTCCCTATGGGGCCACGAAACGTGTGAAGGATGTGCCCAATTGGGTGTGGGTAACGCATGCGGGCGGCAGCACTGGGGCCTTCGGCGGAGCCCCCTATGGGGCCACGAAACGTGTGAGGGGTCTGCCGAATTGGGTGTGCGGGACGCATGCGGGCGGCAGCGCTGGGGCCTTCGGCGGAGCTTCCTATGGGGCCACGAAGCGTATGAGGAAGGTGCCGAATTGCGTGTGCGTGACGCATGCGGGCGGCAGCGCTGGGGCCTTCGGCGGAGCTCCTATGGGGCCACGAAACGTGTGAGGGGTGTGCCGAATTGGGTGTGGGTGACGCATGCGGGCGGCAGCGCTGGGGCCTTCGGCGGAGCTCCCTATTGGGCCACGAAACGTGTGAGGGGTGTGCCGAATTGGGTGTGCGTGACGCATGCGGGCGGCAGCACTGGGGCCTTCGGCGGAGCTCCTAGGGGGCCACGAAACGTGTGAGGGGTGTGCCGACTTGGGTGTGGGTGACGCATGCGGGCGGCAAGCCGATGGGGCCCTTCGGCGCAGCCCCCTTATGGGGCCCCACGAAACGTGTGAGGGGGTCTGCGAATGGGGTCTGTGCGTGACGCATTGCAGGGGCGGCAGCACTGGGCCTTCGGCAGGAGCTCCTATGGGGCCACGAAAACGTGTGAGGGGTGTGCGCCGAATTGGGTGTGCGTGACGCAGGCGGGCGGCAAGCGCTGGGGCCTTCGGCGGAGCTCCTATGGGGCCACGAAACGTGTGAGGGGTGTGCCGAATTGGATGTGGGTGACGCATGCGGGCGGCAGCACTTTGGCCTTCCGCGGAGCTCCAATGGGGCCACGAAACGTGTGAGGGGTGTGCCGAATTGGGTGTGGGTGACGCATGCGGGCGGCAGCACTGGTGCCTTCGGCGGAGCTCCTATGCGGCCACGAAACGTGTGAGGGGTGTGCCGAATTGGGTGTGGGTGACGCATGCGGGCGGCAGCACTGGGGCCTTCGGCGGAGCTCCTATGGGGCCACGAAACGTGTGAGGGGTGTGCCGAATTGGGTGTGGGTGACGCATGCGGGCGGCAGCACTGGGGCCTTCGGCGGAGATCCTATGGGGCCACGAAACGTGTGAGGGGTGTGCCGAATTGGGTGTGGGTGACGCATGCGGGCGGCAACAGTGAGGCCTTCGGCGGAGCTCCTATGGGGGGCCCAGCAACGTGTGAGGGCGTTTGTGCCGATTGGGTGTGGGGACCGAAGCGGTGCGGGCAGCACTGGGGCCTTCGGCGGAGCTCCTATGGGGCCACGAAACGTGTGAGGGGTGTGCCGAATTGGGTGTGGGTGACGCATGCGGGCGGCAGCACTGGAGCCTTCGGCGGAGCTCCTAGGGGGCCACGAAACGTGTGAGGGGTGTGCCGAATTGGGTGTGGGTGACGCATGCGGGCGGCAGCACTGAGGCCTTCGGCGGAGCTCCTATGGGGCCACGAAGCGTGTGAGGGGTGTGCCGAATTGGGTGTGGGTGACGCATGCGGGCGGCAGCACTGGGGCCTTCGGCGGAGCTCCTATGGGGCTACGAAGCGCTGTACTGGGTGGGTGAAACGCAGGGAAGAGGGGGAGGAGGGAGGAGGAGGGGGAGAAAAACACACACTGTGGGGAAAAACACAACATAACACACAGACTGTGTTTTTCCGTAGGGGAAAACGCAAAACACACACATTCTGTGTTTTTATATATATATATATATATATATATGTCCGTGTGTGTTTTTCCACACAGACTGTGTTTTTTCCTCGTGTGTTTTTGCCCGGGGCTCTCCCCACTGCGCGTCTTGGACGCGCAGCCCATCTCCGCCTCCCTTTCTCCCTTCCCAGACGAAAGAGATAGCGCCCCCGGGGATGCTTTCGGGGGTAGGGACTCAGGGTGGCCTCGCGGTCTTGGCATTGAGGTCGCTCTCCGGGCCCACAAGTCTCCCACGCCCAGAGCCCAGAGGGCCGGGGGATCGAGAAGTGGTACAGAGGCCGCTTGCGCGAGGAGAGCAGGACTCAGGTGCTGTTCCGCATCTTCGGGGACGCGACGTACAATTGCAACGCCAAGCTGCTTGCCGATGCCCTCCAGCAAGGCGCGGACCCGGCACGCACGGGTGTGTGGAGGTACTACGTCGACGTCGGCGTGTCCAAGCCCGGCGTCCACGTCTCAACCTCCTTTCACGCCTGCGCCGATCGCTGGATATTTGGCGAACCCGGGGGTTCTTCGGACTCGTGGGCCGCCTCGCTGCATGTCACCATGGCCCACTGGTGGTACAGCCTGGCTGCCTTCGGTGACCCCAACAACTTCTCCACGTCCAGCCTACATTGGCCAGAGTACAGCGCCGAGAGCCCGCAGACTCTGATTGTCGATGAGGTGCCCTGGGTGGGCGTCACCAAGGACTTTGCGGCTCGCACAAGGGAGTGGCACGAGGGGGTGGGCGCCTTGTGAGAAGGCCAGGGGGGCCTCGAAGAAGGCAGGGGCCTCCTTCGAATGCCCCGCGGCCCTCACGAAGCCCTCTCAGGAGCCGGGCGGGCCTGGGACGGGGCCCCCGTCCTCCAAGAGGCCCTCTCGGCTCCCGAGGAGGCTGCCCCCCTCGCGCCGCCCTCCCGTGCGCGCCGGCCGGAGGACACTCGGGCGAGGCAGTGCGCGCACTGGGAGCCGTACCTCGGCTGCTCTCCTGCTTCTTGTCTTCTGAGAGCGGGCTTGCGAATCTGCTGCCCAGGGCTTCCCTCCCTCTCCTCCTCCTCCTCCCTCCTCCTCCTCCCCCCTCATCCTCCTCCCCCTGGCCTCTTCCTCTCCTTCCTAGGCTCCTCCTGACCCCTCACTCCTCTTGGCTCCTTCTCCTCCTTCCTCACTCCTCTCTCATCCCACCTCCTACCCTTCCTCTGGCCTCCTCCTCTCGCTCCTACTCTCCTCTGCCTCCTCCTCCTTCCCTCCTCCTCCTCCTCCTCCTCCTCCTCCTTCTCCTCCTCCTCCTCATCCTCCTTCTCCTCCTCCTCCTCCTCCTCCTCGCTCCTCCTCCCCCTCCTCCTCCCCCTCCCGCCGCGTGGATCTCCCGCCACCGCTCAGCAGCAGGCGCCCCCCCTCGCCCTGCGCTCATCGCCCGCCGCCAGCTTCCCTGCCTCCCCCGCGCGCGTCCTGCCGCGCAGCGCCACCGGGCCCGGCGGGCCACTGCGCAGTGCGCGGTTTTCTCCGAGCCGCTCCGGCTGAGGTCGCGTGTGCCGTTTTTTGTCGCTTTCGTGCGCGGATCTCTTTGCCGCCAGGTGGCCCACGGAGGCTCGTCGAGGGTCCTCGCCGAGGAGGAGGGAGGAGGAGAGAGGAGGAGGAGGAGGAGGACGAGGAGTAGGAGCGATGCCGAGGCACTGGGCGCACTGGATAGAGGCTCCCCAGAGGGGCCGTCGTGGGCTCCTTGCGCCTCTTTCCGCCGAGCCTCGGCATGCTGCGTGACGGTTTCTGTCGGGCGCGTCATCACGCTCGGCCTCCTCTCCCTCGCCTTCCTTCTCCTGATCCATCCTGCTTCTCCCCTCCCTGTTCCCCTGACTTGTCCACGCGATCGGCCATCATGGTAACCAAAGTTTGTTCCAGGTGTCTGCTTACGCTCGGACAAGGGCCAGGCTGGGAGGGCGGGGTGCAGTGCAGCAAATCAGCTCGGAAAGGATCGAGGAAGAGGGTGAGGAGAGGGAGCACGAGGGCTACGTGGACGAGCTGGAGGGGTATTTCTTGTTCGATGGACATGGTGATGATGCTGCTGATGATGATCGTGGTGGTGATTATGAGGAGAACGAGGATGAGGATGAGGATGAGGATGAGGATGATGATGATGATGATGATGATGATGATGATGATGATGATGATGATGATGATGATGATGATGGCGCTGATGATGATGCTGAATATGATAATGATGATGAGGATGAGGATGAGGATGAGGATGATGCTGCTGATGCTCATGCTGATGCTGTCGATGATGATGTTGATGATGTTGATGATGCTGCTACTTTTGCTGCTGCTGCTGATGATGATGTTGATGATGTGGATGATGTTGATGATGATGATGCTGATGCTGATGCCGATGCTGATGATGATGATGATGATGATGATGATGGTGGTGGTGGTGGTGGTGGTGGTGGTGGTGATGATGATGATGATGATGATGATGATGATGATGATGATGATGATGGAGGAGGAGGAGGAGGAGGAGGAGGAGGAGGAGGAGGAGGAGGAGGATGCTGATGATGATGACGGCGGAGCAAATTCTGAGAATGTCTCGAGCGAGGCGCGGGTTTCAGCACCTCCAAGGGGGAGCCGCCACGGAGTATATTATTCCTCCGTTCGCGCCAAAATGGCGGGGATGTCTCGAGCGGTTTGCTCGTTCGCTGCCCCAACATCCTCCGCTTTTGGAGCAGATTTGGAGGATGTCTCGAGCGAGGCGCTGGTATTCGCCCCCAAGGGGGCCAGATTTTGAGGATGTCTCGATCGGTTTGCCTGTTTTGGTGGCCAGACTCGTGGGCACGGATCCTCCCCAGGATGCCACAGGAGGCTCCACCAGGCTCGAGGAGGCCCCAGGAGGCCACCCGAGGTCCCAGGAGGCATCAGGAGGCCACAGGAAGGCTCAAGAGACAACATGATGCCCCAAGAGGCTCCAGGAGGCCCCGGGAAGCTCCTGGAGGCCTCAGGAGGCTCCCCGATGCTCCAGGAGGCCACAGGGGGCCACAGAAGGTCACAGGAGGCCACAGGAAGCGCCAGGAGGTACCAGGAGGCCCCGGAAGGCACCAGGAGGCCCCAAAAGGCCCCAGGAGCAGGAGGCCTCAGAAGGCTGCAGGAGTGGCTCCAATCCCATGTGATTTACATATGCTCCTATCGATTGGGCCTCCCCTGGAGCACGAATCCTATGTGTTTTGCGTATGTTTCCATAGATTGTCTTTCTCCTGCGCATCCAATCCTAAGTGTTTTACGTATGTTCCTATAGATTGGGCTTGCCTTGGGACACGAGTCCGTGGTGTTTCACGTATGTTTTTATCGATTGCCCTTATCCTGTGAGTCTAATCCGAAATGTGTTACGTCTGTTCCTATAGACTGAGCCTCTCCTGGGACACGAATCCTCCCCAGGAGGCCCCAGGATGCTCCAGCAGGCTCCAGGAGGCCTCAGGAGGCCACACGAGACCCCAAGAGGCCTCAGGAGGCCACAGGAAGCCCCAAGAGGCCCCAGGAGGCCCAAGAGGCTCCAGAAAGCCCCAAGAAGCCCCAGGAGGTTCCAGGAGGCCCCAGGAGGCCCCAGGCTCATGCGCAGAGACGCGCTCGTACTATCGAGATTCATTCACACTCCAACTGATTCACAGTTTGATTCACTCCCAGACCGTCAATACTCAAGCCCGTTTGGATTCGAAAACTCTTGCGTTCAAACACTCACGGCGGACAGGTCCGAGATAATCGATATACATATAGAGAGCTCCACGCAGTGTTTTTTGCCTATTTTTTGCATTTGCTTTGCGCGTCGCTGGTTGCGCACCGACAGGCCTCGAGGCGAATGAGAGAGCCGGCGAGTGACGTGGGCGGAATCCCCGCTTGCGCCAGCCTTCGCTCCCTGCTGTGCGCAGGGCACGGTCGACAGTTGCTCGAGGCTCTAGCAGCGCTCGGCGCTGGTGCTGAAGGCTTGCGGCTCTGATCTACAGGCACAGACGCCACATGGACACAGCCAGCACTGAGCTGGCCTCGGTGTTCTGACGATTGCTGGGATGCTGGGATCAGGGTAACTCCTGCGTGCCCTCGATCTTGTTTTGTCGGGGGCAACGATAGGGGCGGATAGGCATAGGGGGGCACGCATCGACCCCATATCGCCAATTGATCGCCGACAAGGGGCCCGATAGCCCCAACCAGCCCAGGAAGGTGCGGATTCGCTAACGGGGACCTCTCGCCGATCTATCGGCGATGTATCGCCGATTCCAGGTCGATGCATCCCCCCTATGCATATCCCCCCTATCGTTGCCCCTCATTGTGGTCGCTTGCTGTCCCCGCATCATGGGATGGCTTCTCGGTCAGTTCCACCTGGCTGCTTGCAGGACGACCCCTCTCAACTCCTCTTTTCCCGCCTGCCTCGTATCGTCCCTCCCCCCCACTTGCCTCCGTCCTTCAGGAGGGGAGAGACATATACACAATTACTCCGACTGTAGGACCCCGTAAAAGTTCGGGTGTTCTCACGACTAGGAAAACTGAAACACGACAAGAGAAAACTGAAACACGACAAGGCACGGCTTATTCACGACAAGCATGTTCGGCGCCCAGTTTCGCAGCCCACTTTCGGCGCCCACTTTCGGCGCCCACTTTCGGCGCCCACTTTCGGCGCCCACTTTCGGCGCCCACTTTCGGCGCCCACTTTCGGCGCCCACTTTCGGCGCCCACTTTCGGCGCCCACTTTCGCCGCCCACTTTCGGCGCCCACTTTCGGCGCCCACTGTCGGCGCCCACTTTCGCCGCCCACGTTCGGCGCCTACTTTTGCCGCCCACCTTCGCCGCCCACTTTCGCCGCCCACTTTCGCCGCCCACTTTGTGGGTGGCGAACGAAAGTGCGTTGCGAACGAAAGTGGGTGGCGAACGAAAGTGGGTGGCGAACGAAAGTGGGTGGCGAGCAAAAGTGGGTGGCCAACGAAAGTGGGTGGCCAACGAAAGTGGGTGGCGAACGAAAGTGGGTGGCGAACGAAAGCGGGCGGCGAGCAAAAGATGGCGGCGAACGAGGTTAACGAGGTTGGGTGGCGAACGAAAGCGGGTGGCGAGCAAAAGTGGGTGGCGAACGAGAGTGGGCGGCGAACGAAAGTGGGCGGCGAACGAAACCGGGCGGCGAAATTATGCGGGCGGCGAACGAAAGTGGGTGGCGAACGAAAGTGGATGGCGAACAAAAGTGGGTGGCGAACAAAAGTGGGCGGCGAACGAAAGTGGGTGGCGAGCGAATGTGGGTGGTAAACGAATGTGGGTGGCGAACGAAAGTGGGTGGCGAACACAAGTGCGTGGCGAAAGTGGGCGGCGAGGGCGCGAACGAAAGTGGGTGGTGAAGGACAGAAGGAAAGTGGGTGGCGAACGAAAGTGGATGGCGAACGAAAGTGAGCGGCGAACGGAAGTGGGTGGCGAACGAAAGTGGTCGGCGAAAGTGGGCGGCGAAAGTGGGCGGCGAAAGTGGGCGGCGAAAGTGGGCGGCGAAGGTGGGCGGCGAAAGTGGGCGCCGAAAGTGGGCGCCGAAAGTGGGCGGCGAAAGTGGGCGCCGAAAGTGGGCGGCGAAAGTGGGCGCCGACAGTGGGCGGCGAAAGTGGGCGCCGAAAGTGGGCGAAAGTGGGCGCCGAAAGTGGGCGCCGAAAGTGGGCGGCGAAAGTGGGCGCCGAAAGTGGGCGCCGTAAGTGGGCGGCGAAAGTGGGCGCCGAAAGTGGGCGAAAGTGGGCGCCGAAAGTGGGCGCCGAAAGTGGGCGCCGAAAGTGGGCTTGCTCGTCGTGAATCTGTCTCTTCCTTGTCGTGAAGCTGCTTGTCGCGAAACCATCCCGGCCATGACCCCGTGCGAGATTAGATTTAGCTTGTCCCTCGCCCTTTTCTTCTTCGGCCGGCGGAGGCCTTCCTTCCTTCCTCTGCGTCGTCGTCTTCCTCCTCTTTTTCGTCCTTCCCCTCCTCCTGTTCATTCCCGTCCTACTCGTTGCATTTCTTCTCCTTTTGCTCTTCCGCCTCCTTTTCCTCCTCTTCCTCCTCGTCCTCCGCCTCCTCCTCTCCCTCCCCGAGTCAATGCACCCCTTCCGCACCGCCATCCTTTCGCCCCGTCAGCTCCTTTGCCCTGCGCGCGCTGCCTAATGAACTGATTGCTTCTGCTTCCGCAGCTATACCATTTTGGCTCTAGGGAAACGGAAAAGGAGCGAGTCTGCGGCGCGCGCGCGTGCGTCGGCCGGCGGGCTGGCCTCCTCCCTTCAGTGTTACTTTAGTGTATGCTTGACGGCATTATCCCTTCCCCATGTCATCGGCGGAGACCGTGATATATTATCGGAACATATCGCAGGGATTATGAATATCCAGGCAAACAACTGGTTATCAGCCGAAACGACGGCACAGCCGTTAGGTTCGCAGAGCATGGGATCACAAGAAGGAGCGCTCGGACGAACAGAAGATCAATACCCTTCCGGGCGCTATGAAACTGTAGGTGCCTCAGCGGGGCGATGAAATTCTTTCAGCCTTCCCAGGAAGCAAGCATCAGAGACTGTGTTTGACTTGACAGAAGGGGATTCGTCGGTTGATTCGGTGACAAGGTCCAGAGCGCAATCCTCGGGCGGAAGGCATGGCGCAGCCAAAACTTCCGCTGAGGGGCCATCTGAGTTGGTGTCGGCACGCCCGGGTTTGCAGCCATCGATCGATCTAGGTCTGAGATGGAGAAGTTGCTGGACCACGCCCCTGCGGGAATGTCGGGCGCCGAAAGTCCAGGCGCAGGGCGCGCGGCGCATCTCGCGCGGCGCATCTCGCGCTGCATGGGCAGGACCAGGACGTCAGCG